TCCCAGTGCGCTCTTTTGTTTTACCTTTACAAGTTTTTATGAAGGCTTCTCCAAAATTCCCCGTCTGCTTCTTTACTTCAGTTGGTTCTACTTCATAGAAAATAGTCATGACTATTTTACCCAACTCTTCCCTGCATTTCATGATCTCTGCCAACTCATCAAGACACCACGAAGAAGAAGCATAGTTCTTGGAGAGCAAGACGATCGCGATCTTTGATCCTTTGATAGCTTCTTTGAGCTCAGGGCCGATCGACTTGCTCCTCAGTATATCATTATCAATGAATGTGTCGATTCCCTTTCTCTTGAATGATTCCAGGATGTGACTAAGAAAGTTGCTTCGGACGTCTGCCCCGTGGAAGCTTGGGAAGACATGGTATTTCCAGTTTCGAGACACAGAAGACGATATATTATCTTTGCTGTCTTGTTGGAATCTGAATTTTGTATAAACACTCGCTGCAACTGCGTCAAAAAGGAAAAAACAAAAAATCATTTGTATGATAAAAACAGGATCAAGAATTTTGATAGATATAGAAAATATTAAAAAGAATTCATTAGTATGATAAAAACAGAATCATGAATTTTGATAGATATATGTAAAGGTTAACAGACCGTTGGCACAGAAACTCAAAGGACGTTTCCAAGAAATCTCATCATCGTTAGTTGAGCATATCTTTTGTCTTTTAACAGATTCGGTTTCCACGTCGTCCGGACTCGTAGCTTTCCTCTTGTTACAGCTCAAACTCATTACAGAACCCATTGATGGAATTAAGAAGTTTCACACTGCAGCGATCATTTGTTCCGACAATTAGGTGAAAATTTTGAATAAAACAAAGAAACCTAAAAGTTAAAAACCAAGAACACATAATCAAGAACTGGTCTCAAAACACTAATCGAAAACAAAGAAACCATCAAGATTACCATAATCATCAAGAACCAGTCCAGTTACTTCGATTACAGAGTGATTCAACCTTAAGTAAAAATTAAAAAAAAAATAAAACAGTATAAAATGTTGGAGTTTAGTTGAGACAGAGAAGAGTAAGAAAATCTCACCGATGCAATAAAAAAAAAGACAGAGAAATCTCCAAAGAGGTTGTTGAAACAATTGCTGTGTGAATGAGAGGATGTAAGACCATTCGTTGACGACACTTTTTGCGTACAGTGGATGTTTCCTTGAAAATATCAGTGAGAGATTTTGTGGAAAATGTTTGCTAACGATCACACCTACTACTTCCACTAATTCCACTAATCATTTACTAATGCAAGTTGACATTGTGATTAGTCATCGAGTGTCTTTAAATTAATAATCTTTGATGTATTATTTATGGAGGATATTAAATAATAATGTTGTTTGACTGTGGTATTCTTTTTGGGAGATTTTGGAATATTTTTCATTGAATTTTCAGGTTAAGGTTTGTTCAAAGGTTTTTTAAGAACGAAAGGAATCAAGGATAGTCACAATGGAACAGAGTCTAGACTATATATATATATATAAGTCGAACATAACCAAAATTCATCAATGCAAATTCTAAAACCTAATTTATTTAAAAATATAAATTACATATAAATTACACCTACTACTTCCACTAATTCCACTTTTTCTAATGCAAGTTGACTTTAAATTTAACGCTTACTAAATTAGGATACATAATCAAATTTCTCTCTTTTTTTTTTTAATTAGGACGCTGCAAGGGAGAATATTTTTTGTCCAGAATGAGATCATTTAACGCTACTGAACGTGGAAAGAGCATGACTAATCAAACAAAATTATATTTTGGTTTGGGTTGAAAAATTAGTGGCTAGGGTTTAAATTTTCTAATCAAACAAAATTATATTTCGGTTTGGATTGACAAAATAGTGGTTATGATTTATACTCCCTTTGTTTCTAAAAGAGTGATGTTGTAGAAGATTTTTTTTTTGTTTCTAAAAGATTGAATTTTATTTAATATATTTATTATTTTGAGAAAAAGAGAGAATGAAACAAAAATGATGAAATGTATAACGATTGGATCTCTTACATAGAATAGAGCAAAAGTAAAAGTAATATTAACTAAAAGAAAAAGAAACTAATTATATAATTATATAATTTTTCTTTCTTAATAAGTGTGAAAAATACTAAACATCAAACTATCAGAAACAGAAAGAGTATTTTCTAATTAGATGAAATTATATTTCGGTTTGGGTTTATAAAAGACTGGTTAAGGTTTGTTTTATTTTTTGATTTATTTTTTAAATATAATACGACATGACATATTGTTTTATTTTGATTGGCTAGTCAATAAAAAGTGAACAAGGGGTGAACCCAAGTATTGCTCGATGTTGTTTAAAGTAGTCGCAACGATCATATTAACTGTCGCCGTTTTTTTTGGCGATGAATGGTCACACCGGCGACATATGTAAATGTAGTCGCAGCGACTGTTTTCTCTTTCACCACCGCTTATTTGGTCACAAAACACGCTAAATTTTTGGTCGCAAGGAATAAACGCAACGATCACGTAGGCCTTATTTATTATTGAGCTTATAGGTAGGACTGTACAGTTGTATACGAATATTACACCGATTAAAACAGAGTGGTCTTCTAAAGTTTCTGAGGAAGAGAAAAATACTTGTACGTTGTAAGTTATGAATTATCCTTGTATTATCTTTTAGAGTACGTAGTTTCATCACCAAGGTACAAGGTCTGTCTTATTTCTAGTAACCTCAACGTCTCATCTACTTTTGCCCACTGTCGTGTCGACGAAACGGCCAGGCCTTCTCTTCTTTAAAGAAAACATTTCTGTTTTCTTCTTACTTCTTAGGTCACTTATATGAATCACTCTTGACGTTTCTGTTTATCAATACCATATATGGATAATGGATGTGAATACGAGTTTGCTAATACAGATCTTCACATAAATCAATTTCATCAAATGTACTTTGGCTCTTCCCTATTTTGATTTGCATTCATATATTTTCAAAAATTGTATAGTTTATTCATGTTTTGGGATACGATATGTGAACTTTCATCATTTGTTTGTTTCAGTTCTTATGTTGCTTTGTAATTCGAGCCAAGTAAGTCTAGCTAGTTGAATCTGCAGATTAATATATCATTAAGCAATACAGAGTAAGTGAACGATAAAATAAAACAGAGCAAGCAAAACAAAACCAAAACTTTCTGCAGATGCGTCTATTAAGAGAATCAAATTTCCATGTGAGCTTAGTCCCAACAAAACAGATCAACCACGCATTTACAAAACTTAAAAAAAGTAGTGATACATGAAACTGTTTTCAATAGAACTAACTGAGAGAACAGCCTGACTAGTGACTAGAACAGCCTGACTGGTGACTAGAACAGCCTGACTAATGATAGAGAGCTTGAATGGACAGACTCATTAAGAGCTAACTGTTTTGCATAAACGACCGAGCTAACTATTAGGGATACAATATCCCACATTGGAAGTTGAGTAGGATCCTGACTAGTATATAAGATATATGGGCCTGCCCCAGACGACTTCTGTTTCCTCATATGTTCTCTTGTGTTGCTTGGTTGATCAATCAGAATCGCAGTCGCACAATATTAAGATTTTTGTTTCTTTTGTTTGTTTTAGAATCTTTCATTTTTGTAAAATTTGCGTGTGATGCACATGTTATATATATATATATATATATATAAAGTTACATTTCCTCTCTTCTCCTTCCGCCACATCAGCGCCACATCATCCGCCACATCATCAACTTAAAAAAAAAAATTCAAAAGGGCATGGACTTGAGGCCCAACGGTTACACAACAATCAAACCGGTTAAAAAAGATCGAGAAAACGTTAGATACACAAATTTAGAACTAGATAGTTAAACGTCGGATACAACAATCAAACCGATAGAGGATAGATCGGAAAAACATCTATTAGAACCGTTGTTTACAAGAGCAACTCCTTTGCAGCAATGCTCCGATTGAAACTATTAGCGAGGGTACATAGATTTAAGCATAGGAAGAAACCAAAAACAAGCCAGATTCTAGAACATTTTAATGTAATAGATCAAAAGTAGACACCGGAAACATTATCTCTCTAATCTCACACCTAGCGAAATGAGAGAATACCGCAGAAAGTTGCTCTCGACCTCTGGCGAATAGCAAATAACAATAAACATTTTAAGTATTAAACTAATACAAATTTTTTTTTTTTTTAAGTAATTCATGTGAATTTAGAATAGCAAAAATGATAACGGTAAAAAACCAACAAAAAAATGTAAAAAATAATATAATATAAATTATAAATTTTCCGCGCGCAGCGCGGATCAACAACTAGTTATGTTATATAAATGACTTTTAGAAAATTCTGAACTTTTAAGGAGATGTTGGATGCATTGAACCAACTAGAAGAAGGGCTAAAAGACAAGATCAAGGAAATTAAGTTCCTTCGAAAAGTATAAGCAAGAGATTCTTCTTGGCCATCTTGACTGGAATCCAATACACAAAGAGGCCAATTTCTGGCGTGAGAATGTCACAAGCTTTGAAGAGATTGACTTCCAGGTATTACTTCTTTAAACCTGTCTGGTCCTCCTAATCACGTTTTAATACTTGTCTGGATGAAGATACTCAGGGCCCTCCACACGATTCTGGACACGTCGATTGATCCAAGATCATTGGCGGTGGCATGCTTTGATCTCTCACATTCATACAGTACCACGCAGTGTTACAGACCTCAAGGCAAAAGAACAAGTGTGAAACTGATGAACCACGACAACACTGAGGTCACCAAGATACTAATCAAAATGTTACAAATATTTCTATTTAGCTATTTAGGAAATTATAAAGTGTTGCTATTTTCTTATTTACTTTTCTCTTAGGGTTTTACTTCTACGTTTTATTATATATAGAGATGAAGTCTAGTTGTAAGACTCGTCCAAGCTAGAGAGTGCTTTCTATTGGGTTAGGCCGAGGGAAGAGAACTTAAGGAGAGTATTGAGTTTTATTTCTGGTTCGTGACTATTCTTATCTAACACAAAACCACACAATTCCTGTATAATGTTGAATAATTATTTCTCATTCTTGGATCAAACAAATAAAAACATGAATTTCAAAAGTCTAAACAACTCTTCACTAGCTCGCACCAAAACCCTAAAAACAAAATCCCAAAAACATCATTCACTAATCAAAATACCAATTTCAAAAGTCGCTACAGCTCCCCGGTGTTTGAATCAAACACGAATTTCTTATACTCATGCCTTTTAGATTCTTCCTTCTGCTACTCGATTCTATTTTCACGGTCTTTGTTTGTATAGATCTCCTTTATCTGCAATTAATTTCAATAAAACATAACATTACACAATATTCTAATCTCCCCCATCGATGCTCATCTCTGAAGCTCTCATCTTGTTCATTAACGTTAAGGAACCTCCAAGATTTGATATACCCCGCATTCTCCGATCTTCCATTTGTCATTATAGCGTGATGTGAACTGAAAGAGAAGCTCGGTGGAAGTCACATCCTCTGCTTCAACTTCAAATGTGTAGATATGCTCTGTTAAAACTGGATATATAAGACGACTTATTGGTGTACACCGAACTTTGAAATCATTCTGTTTGTCCATGATTTCAATCCATATAGAACAACGATCAGCACCTGTTTCTCCAATAATATTAAGCAGCATGATGCAAGCCTTAAATCTCAAAGATTTAGGAAGAGGCGACTCATTCAACTTGATTGTCAATAAACCTCCAGCAGTAGCTCGGTGATTGAAGCAGGCAGGCACTTGTGTACTTGGTAACACCGCATATCCAGAAGTGGATGTGTGCATGATGAGATCTCTGGCTTCTTGATTCAGTTTGAAGCAATTTCTGAAACTCAGATGGATCTGTGGATGGTTAAAGGAACAATCCAATCTCTCAAGGCATTGACAATTGTCTGCATCTATGCAAGATAGAGAATCTGAAAATTGGGGGAGTGATACCAGATGATTGCAGTTGTCGAGTCCAAGTATACGTAAACGAGGCATTCCCTTGACACATGGAGGAACTTCTTGTATATCTTCGTTTATCAACTGCAGCTCCGTGATGACGTCAAGAGCATGCGGGAATTCCTTGAGGCTTACAAAGTATGACATACAGAAATGAGAAAGACCAGAGCACGACATGATCGACAAAGGAACTTCTTTTATTGATGTTCCTGTGAGCCACAGAGACTTAATGTTTGTGGAGATCTCAGGAAAACTTTTCAACTGCGAGCAGTCTCTGAGATTAAGTTCACTGAGAGATTTCAAGTTGATGTTGGTTGGAAGAGCCTCTAGCTTTGAGCATCCTCTCAATGTCAACGAAGACAATCGCTGAAGGTTCCCTATAGAGGATGGAAGCTCCACCAGATTTGAGCAGTTAGATAGATCCAAATCTTCGAGATTAGTGAGATCTCCAATAGAGGAGGGGAGATTCACGAGACTTGAGCACCCTCTCATTTCCAATCTCTTAAGGTTTGTGGCAGTTCCAATAGAAGGAGGGAGCTCTAGTAGACTTGAGCAATTATTGAGATTCAATATCACAAGTTTAGTCGCATTCTCGATAGCAGGTAGCTCCAAAACACGTGAACAATTTTGTAGAAGCAATCTCTTGAGATTAGTGGCATTTATAGAAGACGGGAGTTTCACAAGACTTGTGCAATCACAAAGATATAACTTCTTGAGTTTATTTTCATTCCCTATAGAGGATGGAAACTCCACCAGATTTGAGCAGTTAGATAGATCCAAATCTTCGAGATTCTCAATAGAAGAAGGGATTTTCACTAGCTTTGAGCACCTAGAGAGATTTAGTTCCTGGAGATTGGTTGCATTCCCAATAGAAAATGGAAGCTCCACTAAACTTGAGCATCCTTGGAGATCTAAATTTTCAAGATTAGTGGCAGTTGAAAGATCGGGAAGCTCTTTCAGATCTTTAGAATCAGACAAATCCATCCACTTGAGATTTTTAAGTTGCTGCATTGACAGTACACTAAGAAAATGTTGATACGATTGGCTTATAAAGTTGGAGTTTGTTAAACACTAGAAATTTTTACAGAAACAAACTATAGAAATATTAGAAAAGGTTTTGAAAATTACTTTTAAAAAAATCAAAATTACTTACTTTAGTTCCTTCCCATAGTTTTTGAAGCTTGCTGGAACTCATACATAGTTCGACGAGAAACGCGGGATTAAAAGTAGATGGCAAACATGTATTCTTGAAATGACTCCAATCTACTGATCTAATATTTTGAGGATAATGAAGTAGTGAATGCAGTGTCTCAGCCTGAGCAAGGTTCTGACCATTGATTCTTACGAATTGGAGATCAAACATTCTTTCAAGTGCTTTCTCCTTTGTGTTTAATTCTTCCTCATTATTAGATAAATCAAAATTTATGCCTATAAAACGCCTATTATCCTGAAAAAATAAATATAATTAGATATGGCTAGTTATAAAATAAAGTTAATTGGTAAAGAGCAATATTACTACAACATAACTTACTGTTGTATCATTGTTAAGCTCTTCACATATATCTCTTGCATCGACCAAAAAATAATGTTTCCTAAGGCCATGTTGAACGAATTGCTTACGTGAAGTTTCTCTTCCAAATTGTTGTAGTAGAGGATGCATCTGTATCTTTCCGTATTTAATATATATGAGAGATCTTTCAGCTAAAACGTGAAGACCTTGCCTCACATCCGAAAAAGTCTTTCGAAGAATCTCTTCCACTTTATGTTGATGTACGGCTTCACCATTAAAAAAGCAGGCTATATAAAGAAATAAATATTTATAATTATCATAATATAAAGCCTCGTAACTGATCTTTATAATGCTCTCTATTTCTCCATTAAGGTTGGTCTTTAACATTGGTAGTATCCTTTCCCACTCTGCCTTGGGCCTTCCTTTCAAACTGGAGCCTAAAATCTTCAGTCCCAAAGGGAGTTTACCAGCAAGGTTGGCAACTTCTCTAGCAAGCTCATAGAAGCCATCATCTGGGTGCTTGTGTCCAAAGGCATGCTTACAAAAGATTTGAAAAGCCTCCTCACTTAATGGAAATTTCACTTTGTAAATATGATTGACCCCATGGGCGTTCAAAACTCCTCTATTTTCTGTTGTGATTATAATCCGACTTCCAGAACCAAACCACTGAATTTTTTCCGCCAAGACTTGTAGCTGACTTAAGCAATCCACATCATCAAGAACGAGTAACACTTTCTTGTCTTTCAACCGTTCTTGTGCCACTCCTAGATGAGGAATCATGTTATCTTTAAGATTAATAGTCTTAGATAACAAATCGCTTTGTAGTTGCAATTGTGCGCTAAAGTCATTCAAACGAACACTTGGATAGCTTCTTTTGATATCAAACATGATCGCACTAAATTGGAATTTGTTGGCTACTTGGTCAAACATAATTCTAGCGATTGTTGTCTTACCAATCCCAGGCGGCCCCCAAATCCCGATCATCCTTACTTCATCCAAATCTAGACGTAATAATTGTTCGATCATTTTCATATGAGCTCCCATCCCTACTAAATTGTCAATATCACTTGAAGGTATGGAGCAATTTAATATGTTTGAAACACCAGTGGCTATGTTTTCGATCATGTCTGCTTCGTCAGTCCTAACATAAGAGGATATTAACATAAATCTATCAAATAGTCTAGTCATGAAAAATTCTCAATACATACAGATCCTAAAGATATGTAAGTTATGTGTCTTGATGATACTTTTAAAAGCTACAAATTAAACATAGTTTGAAATCTTACTCTAAGTAAATATTAATTAAGGAGAATATAAATCAAGAGGACATACCATTTCTGAGAATGATATCCGGCGATGGTGGCCACATCCTCCAATGCTTTTCTCCATATCTTAATATGCTCTTTTTTTTTACCTCTACACGTTTTTCTGAAGGATTTTCCAAAATCACCCGTTTGTTTCTTTATGTCAGTTGGATCCACTTCATAGAAAATAGTCAAGACTATTTGACCCAACTCTTTCCAGCATTTCATGATCTCTGCCAACTCATCAAGACACCACGAAGAAGAAGCATAGTTCTTGGAAAGTAAGACGATCGCGATCTTCGATCCTCTAATAGCTTTTATGAGCTCAGGACCAATCGGCTTACTCCTCTCTATCTCATCATCAATGAATGGGTCGATTCCCATTCTCTTGAACACTACAAGGATATGACTAAGAAAGGTTCTTCGGACATCTGGTCCGTGGAAGCTCGGAAAGACATCGTGTTTCCAAATTTGAGACACAGAAGTTGAAGGAGATGAAAGGGATAAAGTAGATATATTATCTTTATCATCTAGTTGGAATCTGAATTTTGTAAAAACACCCGTTGCGACTGAGTCAAAGAGAAATAGAATTCATTAGTATGATAAGGACATGATCAAGAATTTTTATAGATGGAGGAAAGATTAACATACCGTTGATGACTCTGGTTGCACAGAAACTCAAAGGATGTTTCTTCCAAGAAAACTCATCTTGAAGAATCAATTTGCCATTCTCAACATCGTTGGTTGAACTTGAGCACACCTTTTGTCTTTTAACAGATTCGGATTCAACGTCCTCCTGACTCGTAGCTTTCCTCTTGTTACTGCTCAAGCTCATTACAGAACCCATAGATGTTTCACTGTAACAATAAATAATTCCCACAATTAGGAGAATAAATGAATAAAACAAGAAACCCAAAAGTTAAAATCAAGAACACATAATCAAGAACTGGTCTCAAAACACTAATCGAAAACAAAGAAACCATCAAGATCAACATAATCATCAAAAACCAGTCCACTCAATTCGATTCCACAGTGATTAAACCTTAAGTAAGAGACAAATCGGGACATGAAAATCTTACCAATGCAATAAAAAGACCGAGAGATCTTCAGGACTTGGAAGAATCACACTTTGTTGTTGAAACAATTGTTGTGTGAATCTGAGAGTAAATAGACTTTTTTCGTTGACGACTCTTTTTGCACATAAACTCAATGGATGTTTCCTGGAAAATAAGGTTAGATTTCGTGGAAAATGTTGCTAACGACAAAACCACTGTCCAAAGGCTCCACCACCATTCTCTTAACCAAACAATGATAAGGGAAAATTCAAACTGTTATCATCTCAAAACAACAACACCTCACTCACGTCCACACATTCTTATTTTCTCTTTTTATCTCCTAATATTAATGAATGATAGTTCAGTTTAAAGAATATCTTCTTAAGAATATGTTCAGTTTTAACAATGATTTACAAAGAATAATAAAAGATGTCAAAAGATGTCAAAAGATTCAAGCTTCGCATCATTTCTCTCATACTCTTACATTATTAAGCTATAAATCTCAATAATTGAAAAAACATAATAAGTGGGACTCTGAACTTTCCAAGGTAATTACTGTCCAGCAAAGACTCACCAGTTTCCTTGGTAGTGACAATTGCATATTTTGACGTAGATATAAAAGTGGCTATGCAACTTCAGATGCTTACTAGTTACTAGGGAACGTAGCTTCTCTTCTTTTTTTTTTTTTAAAAACACAATTTCTTGTTTCTTACGTCTCTTATGAACAATATACTCTCAGCTACCCGCTGACTTGCAAGCACAAATTTTCCAGAAACTGGAAGATGCATTGCTGCCACCAATATTGCTGCCACCAATATTTCTTCTCAGCCCGTAAATGCATTGTTGCCACCAATATTGCTGAAACATCATTGACAGTCGCTGGAATATATTATGTGATTGACTATCGTGTCGATGCTTTCAGTACCTTCAGTGTTCTTCAGACCTAAAGAAAGAGCAGAAGAGAGTGACGCTGCAAGGGAGATTTTTTTTTTGTACCAGAATGAGATCATTTAACGCTACTAACTGTATACCAGCAGTGGAAAGAGCATGACTATAGAGGAGACTGGTGCAATGACCATTACCTACAAGTCTAAGGTCTGAGAAAAGCTAGAGAGGTCAGATCCCAGCTTCTAGATATCCTCAAAGCAACTAAAGATACCACTTACGTCGTGTGGACCGGATTGGGATATTGTGAGAAAATGCAGTGTGCCACATTGGCTAGCTGAGTTAGGGCCTATGTTCTTCTCGGACAAAGACTCAGATACATCGATGTTGGAGCATAAGAAGAAGCAGAAGGAAGAGAAAACAGCGATGGAGAAACTGAGAAGAGATCAGGCGGAGAACAATCTTGTATTCTAACTGTAATCTAACTTGAAGCAAACTGTAATCTAACTTGTATCTCTGTTTTAAGATGTTTCTCAATTGAGAACAATCTTGTATTGAGTTCTTTTTCGCTAATTTGTTAGTTAGAAATGCACTTCAATTCTAATATAGCAAAGTTTTGGACTGAATTTTCCAATGTGGAATTTGTAATTCTCTTCCACTCGAAAATATGCAAAGTACAAAATGGGTGAAGTAATAGTTTACATTAGTAATAGTTCGTAGTCTGCTCCATCTCAACCAAATAAGTAGAGTTTTTTGCACATCATCTCATCTCTGCAAAACATTCACATTTATATGAAGTCTTTTGTGGATTTTACAATGCTTAAGCCCCTAATTTCCAAATCCAGTTACTGGAGTTGTTATGTGGCACACAAATGTCATCAAATCCATACAAGTTTCGAAATCTCCCTCTCATCAATTCACATTTCGCCACCACCATCTACAACATCTTATAAGCAAGTCTAATGCTTCGGCTCCATCATCTCTGCATTTAAACCACAGCCACATTATTAACAAAACACATTGATCCAAAGAGCAGACAAAAGATGCCAACCTGAGGAGATTTTTAGAAGGGCCCTATCAAAATATTACCGCTTTCTCCGTCTGATATTTCTTCAAGCTTTGCGATTGCATCCATAAGAAGAGTTCATGATCCTAGAGTAACACAAATGAACATGACATAGCAAATATAACAGTAAAAATAAATTTGGCACAAGATGTATGTTTTCTAAAGGCAGAGCCATTTAACTAAACTTTATACAATACAAATTTATTCAGCTTTTACTAAGAAAATCAGTACAAATTTCAGCATTTAGCAGCACCTTCTGGACGGGCTTATCTAACACGCGTGAATATTTTCAACGACATAGCAAATTGCAGAATCAACAATTTGAAACAAGCTAAGTGTTATATTGCTTTGCATTACCTGGTCCATATTCTGTGCTAGGCTAGAATGATCAGTAAACTTAGGCACCTTTACCAATACAGAATAATAATACACTTTCTGGTTCCCTTTCGTTGGCTTGTTTTTTACTGGTTCTTCCACCTCAGATCAATGTTTGCAACGCGGAGAGATCAGGTATCTGCCAATTGTAAGCAAAGCCATAAGTTCAAAACAAGTTAACAAATGACAAGAAAATAGGATTGTTCTGCATACCTCGTCAATCATAAGCCTCAATATATCATGCGCACGAGGTTCACCAGATCGTTTATGGATACCATATTGTTGACATGATACAACTTATGTAAACTTCATGTCAGCAACAGCTTGGCACTGTGCCAACCTAACCGAAAACAATCAACTGACCTGC